GCCGACCTTAGCCGCTTTTTATGCAAGCTGAGTACATTCAGACCTCAAATGACCCGTCTGGTTGCAATTGAAGCAAACCCGAAATCCCTTGGGGCAATCCCTAGCCAGGTTCCCCTCCTTGCCACATATGTAGCAAGCCGTCCCTTACCGACAGGATCCCTCGTGTCCCTTGCCGCACTTACCGCAAGTGTGGCCCTTCTGGTCTCCAATTCTCGAGTCAGCGGGCTTGGGCTGCTTAGTCACCGGCTGCGACTGGAATGGCCTCCGATCTCACACCTGGGTCTCCCTCTCCTATCTAGCCTGGGTCTCCAACTCAATCTCTCTCCTCATGGCATTGGTCTTCAGCTCATCCAATGTTTGATATGAAGTGTTCGCCACAAACTCACGAATATCCCTCCTAAAAATACTCAAATACTGACTCACACGTGCATGCTCAGTAGAGACGTGCTTAGGAAAAAACAAGGCCCTCTCATGAAACATCCTGGTGATCTCAGTCACCGTCTTTGTCTTCTGCTTGAGAGACAGGAACTCTTGGGCCAACCTCTCTCGCTCTCTCTCAACCACCGGCACAAACTCATCTCGGAACATCTCAGTAAATCTCTCCCAGGTCACCACAGAACACTCTGCAAGAGAATAATCAGCTGTCACAAACTTTCACCAATCTTTCATTCCTAAGTGAAGCAGGTTCAGTGTGAAACGAACCCTCAGATTCTCCGGACAGGAGCAAGTGTAAAAACATCCCTCGACGTCAGAAATCTATCTCATAGCAGCAATCGGATCCTGGGTCCCATCAAAGTCGGGTGGCTTCGTGTTGTTGAACTCCCAATACCACAACACATCACCCCCTTACGACCTCGCAACAGTAACCGCTGCAGTGGCTACGACAACAACAGCCTCAGTCACGGCGGCATAGCGCTCGTCAAAAGTCTCAATCATCATGTTCTTCATAGACCCAAACATCTCAGAATAGCCCCCTAATTGTTGCGGCCACCTCAGCGGCAACAATTCTGCAGATCTCATCATCACTAGCCCTCGGCCTCTCGGGGTCGCTGGAGCCGGAACCTCGGGTAACCACCATACTGAAACACACAAGAAAACCATCAAAATCAGGCTAAAGTGCATACACAACACCCATACACTCCTACAAGTTCCTTAGTTCCTTAAGATTTATTTTGAGCCGCGTACGGGTCTGGTGCTTTCAGTAGTATGGGCCCAATACTACCTTCCACACCAACTCGTATTTGTCTCAAGTCATCCTCTCAAGACCCTAAGTCACAAGGACTCTATTGCCTTAGATCAACTATACACTCGCCCTGCTAGTTCATTAGAACCACGACTAAGCATCTAGACACTGACTTTAGACTGCTCCCCAGCACTGCTCCGCCTCACAAGATCTCAGTTGTCCTCGCCATTTGCTTCGCGCATGCCAATTGTACACAATACGAGACTCAATAGACATTTGAATAAATGACTCTACCTCAAATCCAAAGCCAAACAAGGAACAGGAAGAAAGGCCAAATCGGGTATTCTGAGGCTATAAAATCCTAATTATGTACAATTACACAGCATACACCAAGCAAATAGCAATGACAGAGTCAATATCATAAAAGCAAATTCGTCGGCTAAATGCATCACAAATCAGGCAACACTATCACCCTATTCCTGTAGGATCCTTAGCCTACCACTAACTAGCATGCAATTATATCAGCTCATAAATATCAGCTCTACATTACTCATAATATAAATTGAGGTATTTTGGGAAACTACCGCTCGGGCTCTGGTTGATTGTACACACTGCTTCACTGGGATTTTTCTTCTGCAAAAATCTTCATTTCTTTGAAAAGATTTTATGAAAATCTTCAGATCCTTAGTTTTAGTTTGGAATTACCCTAGGGTTCATCCAAATCCCTCAAACTAGGGCTTTGATACCAAATATTAACACCTTAATTTTTAAACCATTTTTTTCATTTTTAAATTACCAAAACATTGTTCATAACCCAAGTAAAAAAAACATAAGTGTCAAATACAAATCATCATCACAAATATCAGAGTCTCTCAGACTGTCCCAATAACAAATCTCCCAGCAAGTGTGTATAATTAGATCTTCGCCTTCTCGCGATCCTCAGAAGTACTTAAAACACATATACTCAATAACTATAAGCACAAAGCTTAGTGAGTTACCCAAGATACCACATACATCACAACATAAAAAACAGTTATGGGTTATCAGCAACCCTGGGGACTATCAGCAGTCCCAATAGGCAAATAGCACACCCTGTGGGTTATCAGCAACCCTGAAGACTATCTGCAGTCTTAGTCTTACACAACAACATACACAACAATAACAACATTTAGACCTAGTTGGTCATTACAAATACAACTATTCTACCACCTAGGTAAGAATAAGTGAGGAGACTCACCTGATACTGATGACATATAAATCTCACATCCGAATTGCCGTAACTAGACTCCGCCTAATAACATTATAATTAACCCTAATTAATAATTAAGGTCCACAACTCAACTCACGAGTCTAAATCCCACCAATAAGCCCCTTAGGGGCAAAAAGACCATTTTGCCCCTCCCATGGTCAAAAACCTTAAATCTTGACCAAAGGTCAAGAGTCAGCTAACGTCAACTGCCTAGCGTGTATGTTGGGCGTACTCTCTTCTTATGCAGGGCGTACTCAAGAATTAGGCGGGATCGGGCTCTCACCTAGCTACGCTGACGTAGCCAGTAGTACGCGGGGTGTACGCCGCCTGACCCAAAAACCACACCAAAAAGGTCTTAATCATTAAAACATGCACCCAAACACATATCTGACCTCTTAGAATGTATTAATCCATAAAGTCAAAAACTTTAACTCTTTGCATGGCTGAAAAGATCTTGAACCTTAAAACTCTAACTTAATCCACACTCAACACCACCAAACTCTTGCATGGCTGGAAAGGGACCATCAACCAACCTAACATGCATGAAAGGACAACTAATATGCTCTGGAGTGCCCCATACTCATAAAGGTCCAAAGTTGGGACAAAAAGCTCATAAAAACTCATCTATGGAGATCAAAAAGGAAACACATCAATGTATAGACTCTATAGCTTCAACAGATGCACAAGATGAAGTAGTTTCTGGATCCACAAGCTTGCAAGCAACACCTCCTTCTTCACTAGCCTTCTTCTTAAACAAATGAGCGCCAAAATCACTAATAAGCTCCAAACTCTCACAAACAAGACTTATGCTCGAGATTAGGGTTTTTGAGGGAAGGTGGCTGATAAGGAGTGTCCAAGGGATGCATAAGGTGGATTAAATAGGGGAGAAAACCCTTAAAATTAGGGTTTGGAGGCTGAGCTAGTACGCCCTACGTACCATACGTACGCCCAACGTACTAGTAGGGTTTCCGAGATCCGGGTCTCGCACAAGTACCATGCGCGTACCTCTCGTACGCCCAACGTACAGACTAAATTGTGATTCTTTAAACAACGAGGGACCAAATGTGCAAACCTTAAATAGACTAAGGGCTAAAATGAAAATACCTGAAAATTAGATGTTACAAAAACCATGAATATATAAAATCCGAAAAAAAATTCATACACAGACATACATACACATTTAAAAAAAAAAAAAAAAAAAAAAAAAAAAAAAAAAAAAAAAAAAACTATATTCTTCGTGGTTGGCATAATTCATATGTATTGTAATGTGGAAGAAGGATATACTGACCTCAATTTTGAAATCGATCATGAAAATAAGAAACACCCACAAAGTACTTAGAGGCATATATGTAGCAATCGATTTCAAAATTGGAGACAATGGTTTGCTTATTTCTCATGAATACATGGAATTGATTGTGTAGTTGCTTAAATAAATCCGGTGAAATTGAGGAAGATAAAGACGTATTGATTTGTTAAACTAATTGATGATTGTATGGAATTGTCAAACTGCTAGTCTATGATATATTAAATTATCACGGAAATTTAAGTATTAACTACTAAGGCTAGCTATAGAGTGTTATATATTTTTTACCAGCGACAAATCTATGTGGACAATGTTACCCGCTATAAAACAACACCTTGACTAGTATTTTTGCCGGTGATTTTCATCTGCGTACTATTACCGATCACTTTGATGACGGTGAAGAAGGGATGTGCATGATAAGCTTGTACAACTAGCATCACATAAAATACATTAATTTACATGGATTTTATTATTTTTAATTAAAAAAAATGGTAGACAAGGATATTACCACACCATACTCATACACAAAAAATTATAAGAATTGTAAAAGTTAACATGGCACCTAAGTGACATAATTTTGTCGTTGCACGACACCCTTTAGTCCAAGTGGTTTTGAAAACATCAAGCCGAAGGAACCGAACATATATACAGGTTAATAAGATAGAGGTTATAAAGGTAATTTAATTTTATTAACCAATATAAAAAGAAATGTTATGTGACGGTTAAAAGGATCTTTTATTAGAATAGAGATATTCAAAAAGTAACTTATATTTGAACATGACACAAAGTTGAACATGAACACAGTCATTTCGTCCAAAGCTTTCTTCAAGTTTACGTCGTTACTAGCAACAGACAAGTGAACTAATTCACCAAAATTATCCAGTTCAACTCCACATATACATTGCACCCAACATGTTTTGGCCAACCTCACATCCCATAGTATTGACTTTTGTTTTTGGCAAAAGAGTACCTTAACGTTTTATCATGTTACACACTTTGGACTCTGGTAGCAGTTTCCACATTTTGTCAGTTTAAAACCCAGAAGGTTACTTTTAGAAGTTTTCATTCTTCAGGATAGATTTTGTCCACTAACTTTGTTCTTTTTTACTATATTACAAGTTTTGGGAAGTCATCCAATAAGATTTCGGTTGGATATTTTGTTATCTATTTGGATAATAACCTTTACTTTCTGTTTTCTATTCAAGAGACACACATTCACATCTTGCTATATACCATTTTGTTGCTAAAAAACACAAGAGAAACATAGAGTAAAACAACGTGGACTGTAGGGACTTAAAACAATAGGAAGAATTACTCCAAATATGTTTAATACAACATCATATATGCGGGGTAAACTATACATGAATCTATACACGCATTGATCCATCAAGGAATTCAGGAATAGAGAAAATAATGCAACTAACACAAGTACTACTATATAAGAAGTACTGCAGGAATTAATGTAGAAACAACAAGACCACCCACACCTCTACCAACACCCAACAAAAGTTTCTCTTTTTTGTCAGAGCTTACCATTTTCATAGCCTCAACAATCGCTATAAGTGTGGCCACAAACGCATGATCCACTTTGGGACAAATGGTCACCATGAATTTGCCCTCAACCAACTTTGCATTCACGGATGATTGCAGTTTAGACATCTACATGCAATAATAAGTCCATTAGTTAGTTTCAGCTTGAGCTTTAAGTTCATGAAGTTAATTACCTATTCTTTTCAGTTATACACACATGCATAACTGAAAAGATGGAAGGAAATATACTAGAAATTAAACCAAATAAAAGGTATGAGAATTAATTACTTGGGCTATTGGTGTTAAAGTATCTCCCACATAAATACTGCAGTTTCTCTTGGACCAGCTTCCTTTGATCTTGAAATCACAAACATTATTACTACCGGTTTTGTTTGCCAAGAACACGTGAACACTGGTCTTAATCTGGATCATGTTAGGTGTTTTTGCACTAAATATTATATCCGATTTACTTTTACTGTCACCTCTGAATACATTCCATCGGTGGTGTTCAGTCATGATCTGGAAGATATTAGATATATTGGTCTATTTAAAACCCCAAACAAGAAAAAAAACATACATATTAAAGTTTGAGCGTTAAATCACCTTTTCACGGATCACAGCGATGGGTTTGTCATCAACATCAAGTAGCACTCTCTGATGGTGAAAGAATGTGTCGCATGGTTTCACTTTGAACAAGATTTTATGGTTGATATCAGTGATCACAAGGTTTCCGCGTGAATTTGTATCAACTATAATATCGAATTGATATGGTACCATGAACTGAGACCCTATCACAGAAACTGGACAAGACAAAGGTGCATAGCTTGCTTGAGCCATCTTCAATATACAGACACAGAGACAATGAGTGAAAGGCTTTTAACAAGATGTGAATACCCCCTTTGACCGATTACTTTTCTGCGGTTAGGAAGTTTGTGAGAGGAAGCCTCCAACATGGCATTCTTTTAACAAGGTCTACCATCGTCTCATATTTGGTAAATTGACATCGACTGATCAACACCTACATATTTTTATTCCATGTGGTTGTTTTTTAAACAGGTCAATGGAATAAGAGTTATTGTTTTTTGTTTTAGGAAATATATATATGATCATGTTGTATGGATAATTAATGTCAACTACTTTATATCAAAATATATGTAATTGTTTATACGGAATTAAGGTCGTATTTGATATGTATAAGCTTGCTAATCTTTTTGAGTTTATTGCAATCTACTATCTCTAAAAATGTTGAGGATTCTGCAACGTTTGGATACAAATTTATAAGTGAGTAATTTCATTTGGAATAGAATCAACAGATTTTGTTGTCAGCGGAGGACTGTGTTTTGACTTATGTTCATCTATAACTTTAAGTTTCACCAACTTTTTTTTCGGAGGTAACTTTGAATCTAGGATTCAAACTTACCTCTGTCCGATTCGAATGATATGAAATAATAAACTACTTAATTTTTTTTATTATTGTACGGTATTACCGTTAAAACCAAAAATTAAGCACGATTTAATAAATACTAGTAAATATTTGTTTTTTTTTTTCTAAAATCTTAACATTATACAAATAAAAGTACAAAAAAAAATGATGCAAACTCATAATCATTACACATTATTAATAGGGAAAAAGTCTCAATATTTTACGCAAGTTTACAAAACCGGTAAAAGTGGCAATCTAACCATTTTTTCGCCGTTTAAACCGGTAACAAATTAATTTGAGACTATTTTGATAAACATATCCAAGATATTGGGATTATTTCGTAAGCTCACTCAAAATTTTAGGACTTTTCTATAAAAACCTTTATTTTATTTTTATTTTTATTTTTATTATTTTAATGAAAATATATTTATTACTATTAATAATATTAAATAATATATATATATATATATATATATATATATATATATATATATATATATATATATATATATATATATATATATATATAGGGAAATCTCTAGAAAAGTCCTAAAATTTTACCCTAATTTACGAACAAGTCTCAAACTAAATTTTGTTTACGAAAAAGCATGAATTACCGGTAAAAATGACGATTTGACCATTTTTTCCGGTTTACCGGTTTTGTTACTTACCTGTTTCACTAAAATCCCATTATTTTACCCTAATTTGCGAATAAGTCCCAAAATAAAATTTACTGATGATTTGGTCATTTTCTCTATGTAACATACATTTTACCGGTTTCATTGTTGACTCGGACGCATAGTCATTAAATGAGATGATGAGATGGATATGTTGAGTTATATAATGTTATGTTTAGCATAAAACTTGATATCCTGATGTATTGTGTATTTTTTTGGAACATAAAATGCATCCAACAAAGACTACAATAATTACATAAACTAACAACAATTGCGTTATTTTTTACGTTTATAAGAAATATCAAATTGTTTATCTAATCTTATGTAACCCAATATATCAATCTTATCAAACATCAACTCATTTTCTGCCATTTTTTCTTTGAAACATACATTTTATTGGTTTCATTGCTGACGTAGATACATAGTCATAAATGAGCCGATGAGATGAATATCAAATTTTACAATAAATGTATCATTATATAATCCATCTTATCCATCTTATCAACTAATTTAATGACTAGGTGGCTAAGTCATTAATGAAACCGATAAAATGTATGTTACATGAAAAAAAGGGCCAAATCATCAGTAAATTTTATTTTGGGACTTATTCGCAAATTAGGGTAAAATAATGGGACTTTAGTGAAACAGGTAAGTAATAAAACCGGTAAACCAGAAAAAAAGGGTCCAATCGCGATTTTTACCGATAATTCATGCTTTTTCGTAAACAAAATTTAGTTTGGGATTTTTTCGTAAATTAGGGTAAAATTTTAGGACTTTTCTGGAGATTTCCATATATATATATATATATATATATATATATATATATATATATATATATATATATATATATATATATATATATATATAATTGAGGTACCATAATTTTTAGGTGTAAAGTCTTAAAAACAAGGGAAAAAATATAGATTTATTGAATTAATTTTGTATGGTATAGATTAAAAATTGGTTACACATGTCAAAATTAATAGATAAAAAACCTTAACATACCCATCTCTTTAAACAATTATATAAGGAAAGTTTAATTTTTCTCTTTTACCGATTTCTTTCCAAGCACACATCTCTTTAAAAAAAGGGCCCTAAAATTCAACTTCTTTAAAAAACCCTAGCTTGACAACCTCACTAACCTTCAGAGGCCATTACGCCATCGGCGGCCATCATGCCTACGACACCCTGCACCACCGCCTTTGTTTGTCGTTGTTGGGGGTGGGGGTTCCTACGTGGAGCCACCTGAACGCCACCAACCCTGGCCCTCCTTGGTTTCTCGTTGCTTCCCGTTGCCGGTGTAACACCCTTAACGCCTGTTTTTCTTTCTTCATTCCTCTGTTTTTCTGCTTTTCTTCTTACTCACGCCGTTTCAATAAATTGAACAGCATCCCCTTTAGATGTTATGGAGAGAAGATGATGATGTGGCAGCGTTGTGTGTGGGATTGGAAACTAATTAGGTCGTTGCGACAACGATTCCAGGGTTGTGGTCTCGCCTTGTGGGTCTCTCAGAAATGACGAAAAGGAGGAAAATAAGTTTAATCTTTTTTGTTTTCAGAAATAGAACAACTATTTCAACAAAGGAAGAACTTTGAGATCAACTCAAGTCTTAAAACTCTCAAACTTATCTTATTCATTTCATATGGGCAAATGCCCTATTTATAGGCTCAAAGGAGCCGGTTACATAATTGAATTGCAATCGTATGACGAAAAGGAGGAAAATAAGTGTTGTGGTCGCTGCGACAACGATTCCAGGGTTGTGGTCTCGCCTTGTGGGTCTCTCAGAAATGACGAAAAGGAGGAAAATAAGTTTAATCTTTTTTGTTTTCAGAAGTAGAATAATTATTTCAACAGAGGAAGAACTTTGAGATCAACTCAAGTCTTAAAACTCTCAAACTTATCTTATTCATTTCATATGGGCAAAGGCCCTATTTATAGGCTCAAAGGAGCCGGTTACTTTGTATTTGTTGGTATTTGTCATTGTCAGTAGACTAAGTGTCATATGTATTTTATAATATGTACGCCTTGAAATACGATTTTATGAAATTCAACACCGATATATTGCTTTCCACAACATTTAAGGAAATTCATTGTATTTTCTTTGTATTTGTTGGTATTTGTCATTGTCAGTAGACTAAGTGTCATATGTCGATAGGTTATATGTCATCTATCGAATATGACGTATAGTTTGTCTAGAATAGGACGTAACATCTATAAGATGTGAAATAAAGTGTGTAGGGACTATATTGTAAATATGTTTGTCGTATTGCAATCATACGATTGCAATTCAATTATGTAACCGGCTCCTTTGAGCCTATAAATAGGGCATTTGCCCATATGGAATAAACAAGATATGTTTGAGTGTTTTAAGACTTGAGTTGATCTCAACGTTCTTCCTCTGTTGAAATAGTTTATCTATTTCTGAATAGCAGAGCCCTCTGTTGAAATAGTTTATCTATTTCTGAATAGCAGAGCGTCTATCCAAAGTATCCAAAACCATCTCTATAATCATCTATCTAATCATCATCAAGATCATTCCGATGCATCATTCAGGTATAATCATCCATTTTTATCGTTATAATCGTCAATTATATTATGTCGTTTCAATTTGGTATTAGAGCTAAGTTTCGTTCTTATCATTTTTATTATAAATATGAGCACTCATCCATTCGTTCATAAGAAAAAATATTCATCATGCATCATTATAAATGTTATTACATTCATGCATATCATTTGTAATAATCATCATAAAAATTAATAGTCATGATAAACTCTATTATCACTATCATTTTTAAAACTATAAATTTTTATTGTAACTTTGATCCAAAACACAACTAAATTATTGTTCTTATAGAATTATAATCATGAGTTTTTCAAGTCTAGATACTAATAAACAAGAATTAAAATTGTTTCGTAAAACATTAAAATAATCTAAAAAATTTCTTTTAAATCTAAAAATAGATTCGGATATATCGATAATTAATTGCATATCTAATATTAAAGCAATACATATAATAGATAATAGTATAAATTGGAAACAAGAACAAATAAAAAATCTTGAAGATAAGATAACAAAATTAATTTGTTAAATATGTTTCAAGAAATAGAAAAATCACTAATAATAACTACTTCGTTAGTAAAAAAAACTAAAGATTTCATTTTTAATACAAAATACACACAACTTATTAATATGGAAACTTTACAAAAGAAATGCTTAGAACAAAAAATCTTGCAGACACTCTAGGAGCACGGATAAGTATATTAAAAGCATGGATGCAAAAGAAATGCTTAGAACAAAAAACAACACAAGATGCAAAAATTGAATTATGTTGTGACACTCTTTCTAATAAAGTTAATCAATATGGTTGTAAAGATAATAAAAGACAACGATATAAAAAAGAAAATTTGGAAAAAACAAACTTATAAACCTAAATATAAAGAATATTATAAACAAGGAGAAAGAAAATATTTTCGAAATAGAAAACAATATAAACAAAAATATCAATCTAAAACAAATTATTGCCCATCGAATAAAAAAGATTGTAAATGTTGGATATGTCAAGAGGACGGACACAAAGCTTATGAATGCCCAAAAAAACGAAAAAAAAGAAAGAAAAGGAAACAAATCTATTAAAAATTGCATATGATATTGGATATGAACCTATAGAAGATTCAGATATAGATCCAGACATAGATATTTATGTATATACAACTGATTCAGATTCAGATGCAGATACATGATCCTATGGAAAAAGCATTATTGGGATTAGAACTTGAGGGAAACCTCATATCTAACCCATCAAAAGTATACAATGATAAAACATACATTGG